TTGCGTTCCGCTGCCTGGTTCTATAGAGGCAGCGTCGCGTTTTGTCACTTATAACTACGCAGCCTAACACTTCATGTCTCTCATAGATCAGCCTTAGCTTATGATCCTCAATATGGGGACTTAGTTATCCTCTTTCCAGATATAGTGGTTCGGCACTAACTCGCCTACATCCACTCCCCAAGACTCATCTTGAGATCCTCAACTATGTTATCTCTTTTCAAGGGTAAGAGACAAACAAATAGTACAAGGCAATATATCAACTCCTAGATCTACCCTTTATCCCACTAGATTTTCCAAAGGCTCTAGTTAACCTTAACCCTTTCTGTTTTTGGCAGAGTATAGAAACTCAGTTCAAGACATTAGAATCTGTCTCACGGGGAAGGTCACTTGATAACCTATTTCACAATAGCTTCTTACCTAAGCTATTACACAAAAGTTTGTTAAATAAAAAAAAAACCTATCTACTAAAGATTACAAAATCTAAATACACAGACAGAAATACAAATATAAGCACAGGAAAAACAGTTTTTAAGATTAGAAAATCATTTTAGAAATCAGAACTGTTTTTCAAAAGAAGTTATTATAGAACACAGAACTGTTTTTCAAAAAATAGTTAATGTATACAAAATTTCTTTTCTCTTTTAAGAAGATAAAAAACGGTAAAGCATGAAAGATGAAAAGAAAAAACAGGGGGTAGAAGAAAGTAAGTTTTGAGAGAACCAAAGAATGTGATCAATAGGGTGGAAATACTCTTAAAAACGAAAACTCTTTCTTCCATACCCATTCAAAGAGGTGGAAAACTCCTTTTTAATACGAGAGATATGTGATTCCTCATTTTTTAGTAAAGTGAATATTCTTTTTGAAATCAGAATATTTGCTTTCCTTATTTAGGAAGATCACAAAAATTCTTAGTTACGCACCAAAAATATCTTTTATCGCTTTATGGTAAGAAAAAGTTATGATAAACGAGTCTCACATTGCCTGTCCCTTAAAGCATTATTAAGATTTTCGAAGTATAGCAACTTTATTGTTGAGAGAAGTATTTTTGTACGAAAGAGCGAGCGTCTACTTAAAGCTGTAAAAATGAAGTATACACTCGCTTTCGTTTTCTCGGATAATGCTATGAATTAAGTATTATATTAAGTTCTAGATTTTCAAAATGTATAGTGGATTTCTCGAAAAACGTTATAAGTCACTATTATACGGTATTTGTATTACGCAATAAAATATCTCTATATAGACAATCAATTGCTATTAATTTTAGGTATAGTTGAACTACAATTTATCGAGTATGTTGGCTCTCTTAAAAAGGAAATTTGCGAAAAACACGAACGTTTTATGACGTGTAGTAAAGTATTTATTTTGAAGTAATCTAATTTGAGCAGTCAAAAAACATTATTGTATGAGAGTTAAAGATTAGTTTTTGGTGGCTTTTAGATGAATTTTCTCTGTATCCTAACAATGAATTCTAAAAACGATATAACACATAGGGTCTTCGGATGTCTTCAACGACACTAATGATTTTGTAGGACAATGCCTTGTTCATTTGTTAGCTTTTTCATAAATATTCCTGGCATAATACATTATTAGAGGCAAAAATAATATAATTTAAATTTTTGTTTGTTTTATCATCAAAATTTCGAGATTGAAATTTGACTCTTGAGTTCCAACAGATTTTTCAATATAAATCTTTATTTTACTGATAAATTCAAATTTTATTGAATTCAGAATTTACCCCCCTTTGATTAATGGTTGTTACCATTTTTTGCAAGCACTCATCTCCTAACTTAATTATATTGTAACTCTTTATCAACATCTTGTCAATTGCAAAAAGAATGGTGCAATTCGATTGAACAAATACAATCACAACAAATTTCTTGAAATTGTGTAAAATAACTTATTCCAAAAGATTTGGAAATAATTTTGATTTTTCCAAAGAAGTGAGTTTTTTTTATCATTAAACCTTTTTTTTCTTTTGTTATTTTTCAAAAATAAGGATTTCTCTTTGTTTCTCCTCCCTTTTCCATTCTGTTCCCTTTCTATTCATATATCACTCTCAACATAAAAAATCAACAAAGTGAATAAATTTATGAGTAACAGTGACTTTTAGATTGGGTAAAGTAGTTGTCAAATTGTTCATTTACGAGCATCTTCACATTCATTTTGGCGTTTTAAGATTCGTGGCTTTCCTTTTCTATGAATGTGGCTTTCCTTTCTATAAATATTATTCCAACGAATCGAACATATGTAAATATCCGCGCTCAAAGTGTGGAATTACGACCGGTATATATATAGATGTTTAATTATCTATATTTGTATATCTATTAAATTGTAGACTTTAAATTGATGAAAGGAAAAAAAAAAAAACATAATATAGAAGATACTTCAATTCAATATTTATCTGTAAATATATATCAATTAATTATTGTATAACAAGTAAATCCGTAACTGAATTATCCAATTAATTCTAAAATTTAATTAATCGAAGGGACTCAAAATCTTATTTCATGCAGCTGAGATGAGACTCTCATTCCAAGAGTCAATATTAGACTCTCTCTTCTCATCTTTTATGAACGGGGCGATACATCACATTTAGATAAGTATTTCCCCCAAACAGTACTTCCGTTACTAAAATTGAAAAGTGCAAAGCGAAGGACTGACAGAGGTCTCAGTGGTGGGACCCACGGATATTTGTTTTCTTTTGGCTACCCCCTTCAACAAGCGGTAAAAAATACAATAAAATAAATCAATAAATAAATAACATAGAACAGTGGATTAGTGAGTCATCACTCCTTCTCCTACAAGTAATAGAGAAGTAGCAGTGACTCTGGCGTGGAAGACTAATCGTCGTACAGTACAGATAGTCAATCCAGTGTGTGAGTGAAAATGGAAACAAATTTCACACTTCACTGGAACTAGCTTTCCACTCCATTCCCCTAAAGCTTCCTCCTCTACTGACTGCAAGTTCCTTCTCTTTCATTCTTCTTCTGGTTGCTCGCTGGCTGCTATTTTAGCAACCGGAATGACTAATAACTCCCCGGCTGATATTTTTAGGTCAACGGCGGAAATGAACTAATAACTCGCCTCCTAGCTGTCGCCTCCCCCTCCCCCTCCCTCCTCCTCCTCCTCCTCCTCCTCCGGTGAGTGTATTTTTCATTTCTAGTTCTGTTGTTTTATTTTTCTTGCTCTAAGTCCTTTTTGTTGTTCAAAGGCATGGCAAATGCACCGGTTTTATTTGCTCAAAACTTGCCGGTCGGATGGAGATTTTCACCGACCGATCAACAACTGGTTGGAAATTACTTGAAGCGGAAGAGGCATGGTGATCCTATCGACGGCTCCGACATCGTTGAGGTTATTAAATTCTGCAATTATAACCCTTGGGATCTACCTGGTAAGTAGCTCGTCTCCAATCTTTGTCTCTTTCTTCTAATTTTTTTTTTTTTTAATTATGAATTAAGAGGATGAAAAATGTGTGTATAGGTCTGTCCAAGAATAAATCCACCGATAAAGTATGGTTTTTCTTTTATCTTCGCGAGTACCGCAATAATAGTGGACTGGCTAACCGAAAGGCGGGGAATGGATACTGGAAAATCACCGGTGATCCTCGCTCAGTCACTCCGCGAGCAAGGCGGGGAAGTGGATAACTGGAAAATCACCGGTGATCATCGCTCAGTCACTCAGGAGAGGGAGTATGGAGGAGATAGGTAACTAAGAGAAGTTTTGGTTTTCCATAATTCCCATGAACGCGACTAAACTGGGTCAATGCACGAAGTGATGAGTACAAGCTGAGCAAGAAACTCGACTCGCCTATTCGCAGGGTTGTAATTGATGCACGAGTATGAGTACACTGCAGAACTCAACTCGCCTATTCAGGTAATTGCAACACTCTGTTTCATGAAATTAACTGCTTAAATCCTTATTCTTCAATGAAAATTGGCTCTTTGTTTCATAACCCAAGGCTCATTTCTTTGCAGTACCATTGGGCCCAACAGAAAAAAACACAGGATAGAAACTTAATTATCCTGGCCATTGTTCAGGATAGTGAAAAGTATTTGTTTTTATCCTCACGATCATGGACAGGCAAAACTTTTCTTGTCTTTCACAACTCACGGGGAAAAGTTTCCTTCCCTCCCTTCTATATGGATTTATTTGTTCAAGTTTAATCATACAATTTATAATAATTACTTGAAAGAAATTGAAAATGAATTTTAATGTAGCTCCAATGGGAATCCATGCATTAATGTCAATTAGCTATACTGATTCCTCGAGGTTTTGGTTATATAACTCGATGAGCTATATCCCACTCATCAATTATGTTTCCTGTTTGCTCTGTTATTTCCTCCCAAGTTTTAGTGATACAGTGTTTAGAAATTCTGATTATACTGATTTGTAATGCGGAATGATTATATCCTAAGTTTTAGTGATACAGTGTTTAGAAATTCTGATTATACTGATTTGTAATGCGGAATATGGAATTTACAAACTGTTATATGCTTCTCAGGGTAACTATGTTCTTTGCAAATTGAAGGAGAAGCCAAATGAGAAGAAAAAAACAGTTAAGAGGTCGAAGAAAGAGGAACCAATTTGCAAGAAGCCAAGAGCACAAAAGAAGGCAAGAAAAGGCGAATCAGCTTCAGTTTCAGCTTCTGCTTCTGAAAATAAAATATCGGAGGAGATCAGGGCTTATTCAGCCTATGGTGAAGGTGAACCTAGAAATAGCAACCATATAATTTCTGATTTGTCAAATCAAAATTCAAAAAAGATGGCTGCTATTGCAACCAATGACAAAGGTGAGGCAAGTAACGTAGAGGCTTTAGATTATGACAATCAAAGCCTATGTGAGGTTATTTCTATCTCAACCTGCAACACAGGTGAAACAAGCAGCTTAATAGCTTCTACTTTGGGGAATCAGAAATTTTCCCAGATGACTGACGTTTCATCCTATAAGGAGGGTGAAACGATACGCTTGATGGCATCTGATATAGAAAATTATAATGGCATCTGATATAGAAAATTATAATCCAGACGAGATGACTGCTATGTCATCTTATAAGAACAGTAAACCAAGTTACACAACTTCTGGTTTACAAGATCAAAATTCATATGAGATAACTACTGTTTCATCAAATAACAAAGGTGAAGCAAGTCCCTGCATGACTAATGAAAATCAAAACTCAAATGAAATGGCCAAACAGTCATTTCCTTTTCAAAACCAAAACTCAAACGAAATGGCTAATGAGTCATTTTTCAAAATGAAAACTCAAACGAAATGGCTGAAGAGTCATTTCCTTTTCAAACCCAAAACTCAAATGAAATGGCTAATGAAAATGAGAACTCAAACGAAATGGCTAAACAGTCACTTCATTTTCAAAATGAAAACTCAAACGAAATGGCTGAAGAGTCATTTCCTTTTCAAACCCAAAACTCAAATGAAATGGCTAATGAAAATGAGAACTCAAACGAAATGGCTAAACAGTCACTTCATTTTCAAAATGAAAACTCAAACGAAATGGCTAATGAGTCATTTCAGTTTCAAAATCAAAACTCAAACGAAATGGCTAAAGATTCATTTCCTTTTCAAAGCCAAAACCCAAATGAAATGCCTAAAGAATCATTTTATGAGAAAGGCAAACCAAGTAACCTTGATCCTTTGGATTTAAAGAATCAAAATCCTAGTAAGAGCAGCAACAAATCAGCTTCTACAAAAGGTGTGTGGAGTTCCCTCTCGGAAACACCTTCCGATTTTGATAATCAAAATCAACCTGAGAAGACTGATGTGTCACCCCTCAAATATTATCCAAGTTCCTATATGGCTTATAATGCTGGAGAAACATCTCAAGCAGAGCAAAGTCAGTATAAGGTTCCAGTTATTCTGAACCCCTTGATGAATTTTAATTCCCAAGAATTAATGTTACAAAACCAATATAGCTCAATCCTTGAAGATTCCTGGACTTTTTCTGGAAGAAGAGAAAATACATTTTCTGAGGTGAGAAATGCTGCATTTTTCTTGATTTTGTTAATGTAAGGCATAAGAAGCAAACTTATAATCATGTGATGCTTTTTGCAGATAGATATCCAACTGTGGGAAGACTGGCTAAAGCAGTATACAGCATAATATACTAGAACTGGAGACTTGGTATGATGTAGGTATTAGAAGTTGAAAGGGTAGAGGTGGACTGGGTGAGAGGTTAGAACCCATAAGATGAAAATATATGATATGGGCTTACTTGGGCTTAGGCCAACCATTGTTAAAAGATTAGTACTAACCGATTAGCTAGCTAACTTAGCACCCTTATATGTTCATGATTCATAGTATGGTCTGTTTCCTCCTAAATCCGCAGCTATACATTTATAAAAATGTTATGCTTATTGAAACCGGTGCAACTCTTATTCCGGAGTTATGATTAGGCTATTGAAGCCTAAATAGCTTCCATGATGCGACTCTTATTCTGGGGTTATGATTAGGCTAGTGAAGCCTAAATAGCTTCCATGATGCGACTCTTATTCTGGGGTTATGATTAGGCTAGTGAAGCCTAAATAGCTTCCATGATGCGACTCTTATTCCGGAGTTATGATTAGGCTATGAAGCCTTGTATAGCTTCCATGATGCAACTCTTTTTCCAGAGTTATGATTATTGTACCCTGTTGTAATTATTGTTGAATGTGAAGCCTTGTATAGCTTCCATGTATTAGTTCCTTCGCTTGCTTGTGAAGGTGTAATTGTATGAAGAACTAACAGCTTATTGTATTGTCTGGGTATGTATCATTTTATCCTTATGTTGTAAAAATTGCGAATAGTATCATTTTATCCTTATGTTGTAAAAATTGCGAATAAATAGTTCAGTTTTGAAGTCATGATTCAAGTTAGTTGTCTTTCTTAAATATAATTTACAGACTTTGGGTTGCTAATGAATTAGGGTAGGTTTCAGAAATGTGGTGAGTCTATGGTCGTTTGTTCTTTTGTTTATGGAGATTTATGGTGATTTTGTTGATGATAGTCAACAATGAATAGAATTTCGTTTGTGATCTTAAAATTTATCGTATAATAATTAAACCTGGAAGGTTTTCTAAAATAAAACCTATAAGTTAGTGAAATTTTAAATAAAAAGTTTCGCGATGCTTGGTAATAGATAATCTATGTCCTCTACAAGGATGGCAATATCTTAAATAATATCATAATGGAATTTGATTCACATTCCCTTTTTTTTCAAGAAAAAAAGAAAAAAAAAGAAAATGTAAGCATGCCACAAACTATTTAACAACAGCTAAGTTTAAGTGCACAAATCAATCCCTAAAAGGATTGTTTCTTTTAGAAAACCATTACTCTAATTCATTAAATTTTATAATAACTAATCAACACTAAAGTTATTTTTTCTCTTTTTGATATTTAGGAGGGTCAATGAAGAGAAATAACATTGTACGTTCTAAAATAAGGGTGGCTCTCCTCTTTGAATAACATTCGTCAAATTACTGATTATTTCTGAGGAGAAGAAGACTAAAACCAATCAAACAACACATGACAAGCAAATTTTTTTTTTTTCTTTCAATCTAAATTTAAAATTATGATTTACAGAAGAATAATTTCACAATTAATGGCAAACAAATTATAATAATCACTAAACTATCAATTAAACCCATTTTATAGAGATGAATTCTACAAAATCTTAAGATCTCCCAATAAAATTCTATGTTTTCACTATAAATAAAAATGTTTATCTTTCTAGTAAAAGATAAATTTTATACTATAGATTCCAATATAAATCTTTATTTTACTGATAAATTCAAATTTTATTGAATTCAGAATTTACCCCCCTTTGATTAATGGTTGTTACCATTTTTTGCAAGCACTCATCTCCTAACTTAATTATATTGTAACTCTTTATCAACATCTTGTCAATTGCAAAAAGAATGGTGCTAACTTAATTATATTGTAACTCTTTATCAACATCTTGTCAATTGCAAAAAGAATGGTGCAATTCGATTGAACAAATACAATCACAACAAATTTCTTGAAATTGTGTAAAATAACTTATTCCAAAAGATTTGGAAATAATTTTGATTTTTCCAAAGAAGTGAGTTTTTTTTATCATTAAACCTTTTTTTTCTTTTGTTATTTTTCAAAAATAAGGATTTCTCTTTGTTTCTCCTCCCTTTTCCATTCTGTTCCCTTTCTATTCATATATCACTCTCAACATAAAAAATCAACAAAGTGAATAAATTTATGAGTAACAGTGACTTTTAGATTGGGTAAAGTAGTTGTCAAATTGTTCATTTACGAGCATCTTCACATTCATTTTGGCGTTTTAAGATTCGTGGCTTTCCTTTTCTATGAATGTGGCTTTCCTTTCTATAAATATTATTCCAACGAATCGAACATATGTAAATATCCGCGCTCAAAGTGTGGAATTACGACCGGTATATATATAGATGTTTAATTATCTATATTTGTATATCTATTAAATTGTAGACTTTAAATTGATGAAAGGAAAAAAAAAAAAACATAATATAGAAGATACTTCAATTCAATATTTATCTGTAAATATATATCAATTAATTATTGTATAACAAGTAAATCCGTAACTGAATTATCCAATTAATTCTAAAATTTAATTAATCGAAGGGACTCAAAATCTTATTTCATGCAGCTGAGATGAGACTCTCATTCCAAGAGTCAATATTAGACTCTCTCTTCTCATCTTTTATGAACGGGGCGATACATCACATTTAGATAAGTATTTCCCCCAAACAGTACTTCCGTTACTAAAATTGAAAAGTGCAAAGCGAAGGACTGACAGAGGTCTCAGTGGTGGGACCCACGGATATTTGTTTTCTTTTGGCTACCCCCTTCAACAAGCGGTAAAAAATACAATAAAATAAATCAATAAATAAATAACATAGAACAGTGGATTAGTGAGTCATCACTCCTTCTCCTACAAGTAATAGAGAAGTAGCAGTGACTCTGGCGTGGAAGACTAATCGTCGTACAGTACAGATAGTCAATCCAGTGTGTGAGTGAAAATGGAAACAAATTTCACACTTCACTGGAACTAGCTTTCCACTCCATTCCCCTAAAGCTTCCTCCTCTACTGACTGCAAGTTCCTTCTCTTTCATTCTTCTTCTGGTTGCTCGCTGGCTGCTATTTTAGCAACCGGAATGACTAATAACTCCCCGCCTCGCTGGATGCTATTTTAGCAACCGAAGACTAATAACCTCCCTTACGCCCCGTCCTTCTCCTCTCTCCCTCCTCCGGTGAGTGGTAGTTTTCATTCTAGTTCCTGTATTTTTCATTTCTAGTTCTGTTGTTTTATTTTTCTTGCTCTAAGTCCTTTTTGTTGTTCAAAGGCATGGCAAATGCACCGGTTTTATTTGCTCAAAACTTGCCGCTCGGCTGGAGATTTGCCCCGACCGATCAACAACTGGTTGGTCATTACTTGAAGCGGAAGAGGCATGGTGATCCTATCGACGGCTCCGACATCATTGAGGTTATTAAATTCTGCAATTATAACCCTTGGGATCTAGCTGGTAAGTAGCTCGTCTCCAATCTTTGTCTCTTTCTTCTAATTTTTCTTTTTTTTAATTATGAATTAAGAGGATGGAAAATGCGTGTATAGGTCTGTCCAAGAATAAATCCACCGATAAAGTATGGTTTTTCTTTTATCTTCGCGAGTACCGCAATAATAGTGGACTGGCTAAGCGAAAGGCGGGGAATGGATACTGGAAAATCACCGGTGATCCTCGCTCAGTCACTCAGGAAGGGAGTGATGAGGAGATAGGAACTAAGAGAATTTTAGTTTTCCATAATCCTGACGCGACTCACTGGGTCATGCACGAGTATGAGTACACTGCAGAACTCAACTCGCCTATTCAGGTAATTGCAACACTCTGTAATTGCAACACTCTGTTTCATGAAATTAACTGCTTAAATCCTTATTCTTCAATGAAAATTGGCTCTTTGTTTCATAACCCAAGGCTCATTTCTTTGCAGTACCATTGGGCCCAACAGAAAAAAACACAGGATAGAAACTTAATTATCCTGGCCATTGTTCAGGATAGTGAAAAGTATTTGTTTTTATCCTCACGATCATGGACAGGCAAAACTTTTCTTGTCTTTCACAACTCACGGGGAAAAGTTTCCTTCCCTCCCTTCTATATGGATTTATTTGTTCAAGTTTAATCATACAATTTATAATAATTACTTGAAAGAAATTGAAAATGAATTTTAATGTAGCTCCAATGGGAATCCATGCATTAATGTCAATTAGCTATACTGATTCCTCGAGGTTTTGGTTATATAACTCGATGAGCTATATCCCACTCATCAATTATGTTTCCTGTTTGCTCTGTTATTTCCTCCCAAGTTTTATATGTTTCCTGTTTGCTCTGTTATTTCCTCCCAAGTTTTAGTGATACAGTGTTTAGAAATTCTGATTATACTGATTTGTAATGCGGAACATGGAATTTATAAACTGTTGTATGCTTCTCAGGGTAACTATGTTCTTTGCAAATTGAAGAAGAAGCCAAATGAGAAGAAAAAAACAGTTAAGAGGTCGAAGAAAGTGGAACCAATTTGCAAGAAGCCAAGAGCACAAAAGAAGGCAAGAAAAGGCGAATCAGCTTCAGTTTCAGCTTCTGCTTCTGAAAATAAATTATCGGAGGGGATCAGGGCTTATTCAGCCTATGGTGAAGGTGAACCTAGCAATAGCAATCATATGATTTCTGATTTGTCAAATCAAAATTCAAAAAAGATGGCTGCTATTGCAACCAATGACAAAGGTGAAGCAAGTAACCTTGAGGCTTTAGATTATGACAATCAAAGTCTCTGTGAGGTTATTTCTATCTCAACCTGCAACACAGGGGAAACAAGCAGCTTAATAGCTTCTACTTTGGGGAATCAGAAATTTTCCCAGATGACTGACGTTTCATCCTATAAGGAGGGTGAAACGATATGCTTGATGGCATCTGATATAGAAAATTATATCCTATTAAGGAGGGTGAAACGATATGCTTTGAGTGGCATCTGAATATAGAAATTGAATAACTCCCAGAACCGAGATGACTGCTATTCATCTTAATAAGAACAGTAAAACCAAGTTACACAACTTTCCTGGTTTTACAGATACAAAATTCCATATGAAGATAACTACTGTTGTCATCAAAATAACAAAGGTGAAAGCCAAGTCCCTTCTGACTAATGAAAATTTTCAAAATGAAAACTCAAACGAAATGGCTGAAGAGTCATTTCCTTTTCAAACCCAAAACTCAAATGAAATGGCTAATGAAAATGAGAACTCAAACGAAATGGCTAAACAGTCACTTCATTTTCAAAATGAAAACTCAAACGAAATGGCTGAAGAGTCATTTCCTTTTCAAACCCAAAACTCAAATGAAATGGCTAATGAAAATGAGAACTCAAACGAAATGGCTAAACAGTCACTTCATTTTCAAAATGAAAACTCAAACGAAATGGCTAATGAGTCATTTCAGTTTCAAAATCAAAACTCAAACGAAATGGCTAAAGATTCATTTCCTTTTCAAAGCCAAAACCCAAATGAAATGCCTAAAGAATCATTTTATGAGAAAGGCAAACCAAGTAACCTTGATCCTTTGGATTTAAAGAATCAAAATCCTAGTAAGAGCAGCAACAAATCAGCTTCTACAAAAGGTGTGTGGAGTTCCCTCTCGGAAACACCTTCCGATTTTGATAATCAAAATCAACCTGAGAAGACTGATGTGTCACCCCTCAAATATTATCCAAGTTCCTATATGGCTTATAATGCTGGAGAAACATCTCAAGCAGAGCAAAGTCAGTATAAGGTTCCAGTTATTCTGAACCCCTTGATGAATTTTAATTCCCAAGAATTAATGTTACAAAACCAATATAGCTCAATCCTTGAAGATTCCTGGACTTTTTCTGGAAGAAGAGAAAATACATTTTCTGAGGTGAGAAATGCTGCATTTTTCTTGATTTTGTTAATGTAAGGCATAAGAAGCAAACTTATAATCATGTGATGCTTTTTGCAGATAGATATCCAACTGTGGGAAGACTGGCTAAAGCAGTATACAGCATAATATACTAGAACTGGAGACTTGGTATGATGTAGGTATTAGAAGTTGAAAGGGTAGAGGTGGACTGGGTGAGAGGTTAGAACCCATAAGATGAAAATATATGATATGGGCTTACTTGGGCTTAGGCCAACCATTGTTAAAAGATTAGTACTAACCGATTAGCTAGCTAACTTAGCACCCTTATATGTACTAACCGATTAGCTAGCTAACTTAGCACCCTTATATGCCCTTTGTGGATTTGGTATTTATTTAGTTGATGTGGGATTCAACACAGGGTACGCCTAGAAAGGTACCTTAAAATGCATCAGAAAGAAAGATTATTAAAGTAGGAACCCAACACCTCTTGTATGGTTCCTTATATAGTATCAGTGGTTTATCTAGCTAGCTAGCCGTTGATTGCCTAATGATGGTGTCCAGTTAAGACTTGATTTCACACGTGCAGCACTAAACTTCAGGCTGCAATGCTTCATGATTCATAGTATGGTCTGTTTCCTCCGAAATCCGCAGCTATACATTTATAAAAATGTTAAGCTTATTGAAACCGATGCAACTCTTATTCCGGAGTTATGATTAGGCTATTGAAGCCTAAATAGCTTCCATGATGCGACTCTTATTCCGGAGTTATGATTAGGCTATGAAGCCTTGTATAGCTTCAATGATGCAACTCTTATTCCAGAGTTATGATTATTGTACGCTGTTGTAATTATTGTTGAATGTGAAGCCTTGTATAGCTTCCATGTATTAGTTCCTTCGCTTGCTTGTGAAGGTGTAATTGTATGAAGAACTAATAGCTTGTTGTATTGTCTGGGTATGTATCACTTTATCCTTATGTTGTAAAAATTGCGAATAAATAGTTCAGTTTTGAAGTCATGATTCAAGTTAGTTGTCTTTCTTACATATAATTTACAGACTTTGGGTTGCTAATGGTTTTTGAAGTTTATCCTTATGTTGTAAAAATTGCGAATAAATAGTTCAGTTTTGAAGTCATGATTCAAGTTAGTTGTCTTTCTTACATATAATTTACAGACTTTGGGTTGCTAATGAATTAGGGTAGGTTTCAGAAATGTGGTGAGTCTATGGTCTTCTGTTCTTTTGTTTATGGAGATTTATGGTGATTTTGTTGATGATAGTCAACAATGAATAGAATTTCGTTTGTGATCTTAAAATCTGTCATATAATAATCAAAACTGGAAGGTTTTCCAAAAAATAAAACCTATAAGTCAGTGAAATTTTAAATAAATAATAAAAAGCTTCGTCATGCTTGATAATAGATAATTTTTGTCCTATAAAAGGATGATAATATCTTAAATAATATCATAATGGAATTTGATTCACATTCCTTTTTTTTTTTTTCAAGAAAAAAAGAAAAAAGAAAATGTAAGCATACCACAGAATATTTAACAACAACTAAGTTTAAGTGCACAAGTCAATCCATGAAAGGATTGTTTCTTTTAGAAAATCATTACTCTAATTCATTAAATTTTATAATAACTAATCAACACTAAAGTTATTTTTTCTCTTTTTGATATTTAGGAGGGTCGATGAAGAGAAATAATATTGTACCTTATACAATAACGGTGGCTCTATTTTTTGAATAACATTCGTCAAATTACTGATTATTTCTGAGAGGAAGAAGGCTAAAACCAATCAGACCACACATGACAAGCAATTTTTTTTTTTTCAATCTAAATTTAAAATTATGATTTACGGAAGAATAATTTCACCATTAATGGCAAACAAATTATAATAATCACTAAACTATCAATTAAACCCATTTTATAGAGATGAATTCTACAAGATCTTAAGATCTCCCAATAAAATTCTATGCTTTCACTATAAATAAAAAATTTATTTTTCTAGTAAAAGATAAATTTTATACTATAGACTTCAATATAAATCTTTATTTTACTGATAAATTCAAATTTTATTGAATTCAGAATTTATCCCCCTTTGATTAATGGTTGTTACCATTTTTTGCAAGCACTCATCTCCTAACTTAATTATATTGTAACTCTTTATCAACATCTTGTCAATTGCAAAAAGAATGGTGTAATTCGATTGAACAAGTACAATCACAACAAATTTCTTGAAATTGTGCACTTTGTCAATTGCAAAAAGAATGGTGTAAATCTCGATTGTCTCCTAACTTAATTATATTGTAACTCTTTATCAACATCTTGTCAATTGCAAAAAGAATGGTGTAATTCGATTGAACAAGTACAATCACAACAAATTTCTTGAAATTGTGTAAAATAACTTATTCCAAAAGATTTGGAAATAATTTTGATTTTTCAAATGAAGTGATTTTTTTTTTTATCATTAAACCTTTTTTTTTTTTTTTGTTATTTTTCAAATACAAGGATTTCTCTTTGTTTCTCCTCCCTTTTCCATTCTGTTCCCTTTCTATTCATATATCACTCTCAACATAAAAAATCAACAAATTGAATAAATTTATGAGTAACAGTGACTTTTAGATTGGGTAAAGTAGTTGTCAAATTGTTCATTCACGTTACTCGAGTGCACACATTATTATTATTCTTAATAGATAACAAGTAAATCCGTAAATGAATCATCCAATTAATTCTAAAATTTAATTATTCGAAGGGACTCAAAATCTTATTTCATGCAGCTGAGATGAGACTCTCATTCCAGAGTCAATATTAGACTCTCATCTCATCTTGTATGAACGGGGCGACACATCACATTTAGATAAGTATTTCCTAAAGATTGGCAAACAGATGGAAGGGATAATGATTTTCAGATTGCTATTGATGAGTATTTAAAATACAAGAACAGTAACAAAATGCCTACAATACAGGAATACGTTTTACACTATCTCAATAAACATCCCTATGATCAAGGAATAGGAATAACAGAAGTTTGACTACGAATGATCAATGGAACATAGGAATAACAGAAAGTTTGACTACGAGGTTTTTGAATAAATATTACTCTTTAATCACACCCCCCCCCCGCACTGCAAATACTCTGGAAGGAACCACCTTGAGGCAAACTCATGGAAGGAACCACCTTGAGTTTGGATTTCAATTGAAGAAACCGTGGTTTGGACAATGGCTTTGTAAGTAAATCTGCAAGCTGATCTGTTGTGGAAATATGAGAAACTTGAAGAACTTTCTTGCGAACTTGATCACGAACGAAATGAAATACCGGGTTGGCCGCTAGATATTTTGATCTTGAATGAAATACCGGGTTGGCCGCTAGATATGTTGCAAAAACATTATCACACCAAATGCGAGGTGTAGCTTGAACAGACTGCCGAAGTTCACGAAGTAAACACTGCAACCAATAAACCTCAGATGCCGTTGAAGCCAAGGCTCTATATTCGGAGTCTGTGCTGGAGCGAGCAACTGTTTTTTTGTTTCTTGGAGCACCAAGAAATTAAATTTGGACCATGAAAAACTGCATAAGCCGAGGTACTCTTGCGATCAATTTTATCACCACCCCAATCTGCATCACTGAAGGCAATTAATGATGGTGCCAAACATGATAGAAACAATAACCCATGGTTAGCAGTGCCTCGAAGGTAACGAACAATTCTTTTCACCGCCTGCCAATGATGAACCGAAGGGGAGTGCATGAATTGTGAAGTTTTATTAACAGCCAGTGTAATGTCCGGCCGCTTTAGAGCTAAATATTACAACATTCCCACAACTTATCGAAACAATTTTGGATCTTCAAAAGTTGGAGAGTTGTCCACAAATAATGAAGTTTATGGAGAAGAGGGTGTACTCACATATGATATTAACTCAGAGAATATGAGAATTGAAGGACAGGAAGAAGAATTGAGATAAGTGTTCTCACAATTTCATTACTGTATCAATATGATTTTTATACAAGAGATTATACAATAACGGAAACAATCTATGCTAATAATGGTCAGTTATTCTGAAACAAATCTAATGCTAATAATTGGTCAGTTATTCTGTGCAGGAAACTTTCCAAACAAAAGAATTTGACTTGCTGGAGAATAGGCTCTAAATAGGGAAAATGATGTCTTGCATAATTCTGATCCTATACTGGCTACACTCCCCCCTCCAAGTTGAGTAGTAGGATCTCTGATACTCCAACTTGCTTCAAAGTACCTTCTCAAAACGACTTCCCCATTGACTGCTTTGGTTAGAAGTCAGCCAATTGGTTCTTTCTGATCTGACAATAGGGGAGATCACAATACTGTCTCGATTTTTCTTTGATAAAGGTGCGTAATCCACTTCAATTATGCTTGGTTTCTGTCATGTTGAAACTGGATTCTCTGATATGCTGAGTAAAGCAGCCTTGGTTGTCACAAAATATTTTTGCATGTGTCTAAGGAGGAAAGCCAACCTCTGTGGATTAATTTCCTGAGCCATAAAACCCGTCTGTAAGACCCTCTAGCCTACTCCTCGAATAACTCCCAGCTTCTGCAGAGGAGAGAGCCACCACCTTCTGTTTTGTTACTTCTTCAGTCACCAAATTACCACCGAACCCAGTGTGAAGTATCCCTGATGTAGATCGACGATCAAGATTGGATCTAGACTTCTCCAAGTCACCAAATTACCACCAACCAGTGTGAAGTATCCTGATGTAGATCGACGATCAATTGGACTACCTGCCCAATCAGCATCAGTGTAACATTGCACTTCTAAGTGACCATGATTTTTGAACACAACTCCTAGTCCAGGAGTACCCTTGAGATACCTTATGATTCTGATCACAGCTTCCATGTGGTGTTTCTGAGGTCGGTGCATGAACTGGCTAACCACACCTACAGTATATGCAACATCAGGATGAGTATGGGACAAGTATATGAGTTTTCCTACCAGTCACTAATATCTTTCCTTGTCAGTTGATTCTCCATCTTCTAGAATTTGTAGTCCATGATTTACTACAATGGGGGTATCAATGGGCTTACAGTCAACCATGCCTGTTTCAACTAGGAAGTCTAGAATATACTTCCTTTAGCAGATAAATATCCCTTGTTGAGATCTCAGAACTTCTATGCCAAGGAAATACTTCAATGCTCCCAAATCCTTCATCTTAAATTCTGCAAACAATTTCTTCCTGAGGCTGGTCATCTCTTCTGTGTCATTTCCTGTGATAATCATGTCATCGACATAGATTATTAAGCATGTAACAAGATCATCTCGTCGTTTGAGGAAGAGGGTGTGATCTGAGTTGCTTTGT